CCGCGGCGGCAGCGCCCAGACCGACGGCTTGCGCATCGAGTCGCGAAAGGAGCGGCCTGTCCACACGCACGTGCTGCTACGAGGCGTTGGTCACACCCAAAGCCGAGTGGCGGAAGCAGCGGCCATACCCGAAGCGAAGTGCGACTCGCTGCTTCGCGTGCGCGACTCGCTGCGCCGCGAGGAGAGGGGGGACCACTCCCGTGCGGGCAGCAGCGTCGGCATCAGGTACAGCGCGACCGACAAGTAGAGCGCGGCGGCGACGAGCCAGTCGACGGCGCAGAGCAGCGGCACCGAGGCGATGCCGCAGGAGGAGAGCTGAGCTTCGTCGAGGTTAGACCTGCCTGCGTGGCGTGTCAGGGACGTGTCGTGGACATGTCTTGGACAGAGGCTGCGCCGCGTCGAGGGCTGGCTTGCCGACGCGAGCGTTGAGGAGGGCGAGAGCGAGGAAAGAAGGGACGGCGATCAACGCAATGAGCCGCAGCAGCGCCTCGTCCGTCGGGAGGACGGCGAGGGCGAGGAGGACGCCGCCACCGAACATGAAGGGGCCGTACGTGGAGCGGCGTAGGTGCAGAGCAGACTCGCCGCTCACTCTTGCAAAGTAAGACGCGCCAACAAACGCGATGCAGATGGCGCCGAGGAGCAGAGGAGGCGCCGAGACGCGCCATCGCAGCGCAGAGGCGGCGGCGCGGGCGCGATCCAGCGCCTGCGACGCCTCCTCCTCTGCAACCAGGTCGGCGTGCCGCGACCGATCGCGCTTGCCCAGCCGATGCATGAAGGAGATGTGGCCGAGGCCCCTCAAAGCCGGGCCTCCACTCCGGGAAAAGGTTACTGTAGTGAGCGTCGGGCTCGTGGTTAGTGTGGAGGGAGGTGGCGTGCCGTCCTTGCGGTGGTGCGTTCTTTCTTTTTTTGCAGCTGGCTGTGCCTCTTTTGGTTCCTGTGTCGAACCTGTGTGCTGTGCGAGAGAGTTCTTTTTGTTGAATTCTTTTTTTGAGAGCCCGCCTTCGAGCCTGACTGTGTGTCGTTCGTGCGTGTCGTCATCATCTGTCTAGCGTCCACCCATACCGCGTTGGTGTCCAGTCCGAGCCTGGCTGTTCTTCACCTTTCTACCTATGTATGTTGGTAGTGGCGCGATTGTGCGTCAGGCGGAAAGGCGAGCGCCGGCGGAAGGTGGCACGCCGAGCGTGTCAGCCAAGGGAGGCGATTGCGCATAAGGCAAAAGTTGTTGATGGCCGACGACGTCGCCTTCGCGTCGGCTTGCGATGCCGAATCCGCTCCTGTTCGTCGGCAAGGGCGCGGCGCTGACGGCGGCGGCCCGAGCGGCTGACAAGGCGAACGAAGGCGGCGGAGCATTCCAGCGGCTGGGCGAGGGCCGCGGCGCGGCAATCCGGCTCGCGTGGCCGGCGGAGGCGCTGCACACCATGCCGCACGAGAGGCGGGCGGCGGCGGGCGACGCGGACGACCCGTTCGCGCACGGCCGTCCGATCACCAAGAGGGCGAGGCGCGCGGCGGGCGAGCTGCGCGCCGTGCAGCACCAGGAACGTGCGGAGGCGCCCAGAGAGGCGGAGCTGGCGGCGGCAGAGGAGCGGACGGCGGAGCAGGCGGCGCTGCTGGCGCCGCTCGCGGCGACGGACACCACGGCGCGCCTGGCGAAGCGGAGGCGGAGCGCCCTCGTGGCGGCGGTGCTGCATCAACCCATTGCGGAGCCGGCGGGCCGGGCGGCTCAGATGCTCGCGCCGCTCGGCGAGCACTTGAAGAGGCAGTGCGACGAGGTGGCGAAGCGGTGGGACGACTTCCAGACGGAGATGGAGCGGCTTGACGAAGACGGCGGCGATGCGGACATGCGCTCCAACTTTGCGAACGGGATGCGGGACGGGTATCCGTGCCAGCAGCTCACCCTCGTGTTTCTGCAGTACTTGCTGACGAGCCGCACGCGTCGCGAATTCCATGTTGGGATGTTAGAGGGAATTCCAACTAATGCATACTGCACGAACGATTGCCTCCAGAGTGGTGTGGTCGGGTACGGATCGTACTCCTACCTCGACGATTTTGGCTGGTCGACCTACCTACCTATGGAGTGCGAGGTATCTCGTCTGTCGCCTTCCCAAACTGTCACTCCCCTTTCTCCCGGCCGGGGACGGGTGGGGCGCGCGCGGGGGGCGGCGGGTGTGCGGGATGTCTGTGGGCCCGAGAGCGATATGCCATGTCCGCCTTGCGATTGTTTCATAACATCGAAGGCTAGCTCAAAATAAAATACCCCTGCTCTCTCAGCAATCAAAACCTCTTGCCGCTTTCAAGGGACCGGCAGGCGGCGGCGTCGCAGGACGAGGCAGAAGAGAACGACGCGACAGAGGAGGAAATGACAAGGGAGAGAACGACGAGAGTGGGACGGCCGCGAGGTGGCATGAAGGTTGCAGCGAGAAGCGGCGAGAGACTGCGAAGAGAGATAGGAAGAGGCAGACTCCCTAGGGTGGGCGACGGCTAGCGCATCACACACTCAATACCTGTGACTTTTGGGAGGTCTGAAGCTTACCCATTGGGGAAGTGAGGTTTTCCGTCCACCCTGATCATGCTGAACAAGCTCCTCTTGTAGCTCGATCGGTCACACCGCCACCACCGCCGACCGACGTCTCCCAGTGAGATGATGGAGGGGGTGGGGCGACACACTGCTTCTGCAGCGTGCACCTCGATCCTGTACCGTGTTTGTTATGACCCCCCCCCATGAACACACCAGTGAGGGAGGGCGAGACGATCGAGGGGACCCGTACCATGGTGAATCGACCCTATCCAGTGCTCAAGTGCTCAAGAGCGGTACTGCTCAAGGCTGTGAACGAATTGAGACTAAGTTAGCTTCCCCTCGCCGGCGCTGCTTGCGGCACCTGTGCGGTCCGAGCGGCAGAGCGTCCGCGAGGATGGAGTACGCGGTGTCCGACGTTGGCCTTGTTAGGTTGCAGTCGTGGATTGATCCGAAGATCGATCGTGCTATCCGCCCTTCGCTCCCCGCGTGTTCGCTCTCGGCCCCCTTCTCCTCGCTGTCACTCTCGTCGTCTTCTTGTCCGTCGCCGTCGTTGTTGCTATGGGGGCCGTCAATTTCCACCGAGTCGACTGCGGCGTTGAAACGATCGAGAAGTGGGCCTGTGACCTCTCCCTCTGGCGAGCCACCGGTCACCCCCCGGGCCAGCGTTCTCAAAGCGCACCTTGTATTCAAAGTTCCCTAACATTTGCTGACTTGGTCGTCGCGCAATAATACGCTCGATGGTCCACTCTCTATTTTCGTCCTCGTCGATCTCTCTCCCCTCCCTCCCGCCCGGGCCGTATGCTTGAGTAAGTCATAGAAGCGTGTGGTAGTGTCTTCATTGCTTGCCGGGTATTTGCGGCTGAGGTAGGTGGCGCGCCGAAGTCGCTCAGATCTGCTCGCCACGCGAAAGGACCACCGGTGTTCCCGGCTGGCATGTAGAGGAGGCCACCCTCGGATCGCGCTCTTCTCTGGGTTTCAGCTATTTGCGACACCACACAGGGATTTTAAGGAGAGGGGTGTGATGCGCTAGCCGTCGCGGCCACCCTTGGTCGTCTGCCTCTTCCTATCTCCCTTCGCAGTCTCTCGCCGATTCTCGCTGCAACCTTCATGCCACCTCGCGGTCGTGTCGTCCCACTCTCGTCGTTCTCCCTCCTGTCGCTTCCTCCTCTGTCGCGTCGCTCTCGTCTGCCTCGTTCTGCGACGACGCCGCTGCCTGCCGATCCCTTGCTCTCGCGGCTTCTTGCGCCTTTCGGCGCAGCTCCGCCCTCCTCGCTGCATATCCTGGCCCCTCGAGTCTATCGAGCTCCCCTCGCGCAAGGACCACATTTCTGACGCCCACTGCGATCATTTGCCGCCAAGTCATATCGTTGCTCAGGTCCACTCTCTCTTCGAACACTTGTGCCTCCACGGATGATGCCGCTGATGCCGGCGCTGGGGTCCCCTTCGGATGCATCGTGACAGCTGACAACGGGATTTCCACTGGTTCGTCCTCCTCGGAGTCGTCTTCCCCGGCTTCCTTCCGCTCGGCTCTACGTTCGGTACGTTCGGCGTGGCTCACCCTCCATCCATGCCGTGAACAGGCGCTTTATCCACCCTATATTCTTCTCTCGTTCCTCTGCCCGTGCCTTGGTCTTGTCGTTGTTTCGCACCCATGTCTGTATGGCAATCGAGGCTGCCTTCCCTACTACCTGTAGTTCACTCGTCACCTCCCCCGCGAGCTCCCCTCTCTTTCTTTCGGGTATGGGGTCCGTGAGTGCGGGCACAGCGTGCAGGCAATCACGGGCGCTATTTTGTCGTACTCCTCTTCGGCGAGCGCTCCGAATCTAGACCCTATTGCCTTTAAGGAGGCTGCCCTCGCTCGTCTCAGGAATGTGGCGGTGTCTTTTGAGTCCGGCGCCTCCCGTGCAACTCTTGCTGTCGCCCTCGCCGTGTGTTTGTCGAGCTTCCGCATGAAGTGACGCGCCTCTTCCTTTTTTCCAGCGCAGCTGCCGCTCAGTATGTGCGCCAACGACGCCTGCTACTTCAGTTGAGGCTTCCCTCGGACGAGCGCACTTGCGCTAAGGGCGTAGACGCCCTTACAGTTCCCGCGCGTTTTCTTCATCCGCTGGCTCGCGCGCGGGTTGGCGACACAGCACGCGATGCTGCCCCTCCTCACCACGACATGCACCGCCTTTCACGCTCCCGCGACCGCCGTTCACGCTGGCTCCTGCGTGCCGCCGGCACGCCACGCTGCCGCCATCTGCTCCTCCACCGGGAGCGCAGGCCCGCTCATCCCTCATCGCCGGCCAGTCCGCCTTCGCCCTCGCCACCGAGGTGCCGAGCCTGTTTTCGTCCTCGCCGGACATCTTCGGCACCCTCTTCGACGCTGGCTTCCTCTTCTACAGCGGCCGACTCCTCGCGGGCCAGGCCGGCCTCGTCGGAGGCGATGAGGCGCTCGCTGAGAAGCTGGCCGGCCTCGACTGCACCTGCACGCTCAGCATCGGCCGCGAGCCCGGAACGTGGATGCCCAAGGAGTGGGGCTCGTCCGGCGCCCGCCTCTCGCTCCCGCTCCAGCTCCGCTTCTCGGAGGAGGTTCCGCGGACGCTTCCGAGATACAGGCCTCCGAACTCCCGTCCACAACCCGTCCACCGCCCCTCAGACGGCGGACCTCGGCTTCCCGGGCGAGGAGAGCATGACGGGGCGCACCGCGCGGCAGCTCTGCTGCCCCGGCGGCGGCTCCTTTGTCGGGCAGGCAGGCACCGTCCGGGTGGAGCCTACGGGCGGCGCGTGGAGCGTCAAGCCGACCCGGCAGCCTGGCGTCGGCGAGCCGCGCCTCCTCGAAGCATCTCGGCGAGCCTCTGGCCACCCTGCGGCCTGTGCCCCCCAGGCGAGCTGCGCTTCTTCCTCGACTTCCTGACCGAGGCGGCGCGCAACGACGTGACGCTGCCCGCGGGGCGCGCCCTCGCAGCGCCCGCACCCTCCACGGGCCTGAGGCCTGAGCCCTGGGGCCCCTCTCTGCAGGCGGGTCTTCTTCAGCGGGACGTGCGTCGACCCCGAGCTGGCGCAGGCGCTTGGCCCGACGCCCGGAGATGTGTTCGTGGCGCCGGGCAGCGGCGTGCGCCTCTTTGGCGAAGGCGGCGTCACCACAAAGCGGACTGACGCGCGCAACCTGTACGGCGCGCTCGGCGAGACCTTCCTCATCCTCGGCCGCTTCTCGCTCGGCCCGCCGCCGCCGCCACAGGCGTCCGAGGACGAGACGCCGCAGCAGCGCGCCGCGCGGGAGCGCGCCGAGGACGAGGCGCGCGGGCGGGCGGTATGACCGGGCGTACGACGCGGATTGGAGAAAGCGGATGGTAAACAAGAACACAACACGCACTCTCTCACATGACAAGCGATCCAACGACATTGTGGATTGGAAAGAAAGAAAAACTGCATTTTGAGCACTTGGAGTGCAGTCGGTAACCTCACATCCAGGGCCGGGGAGCTAAGGAGCGCACCCAGCGGGCCGTAAATGCGGAACTCCGAATTCTTTTCCGAGCCAGTCCCGTGCCCAGTCCTGTGCCCAGTGTTGTGCGAGGGAGTTTTGTTGTAAAATTCTTTTCCTCGTGTGCCCGCAGGGTTCGGACTTTTTGCGGGGTATGGTATGGTACCCTCGCGCAACCCACCTCGAGACCATACCCCCCCCGCCTGCTGACAGACCCAGCCTCCCGGAGACCGGGGATGGGTCAGGACCATACCCCGCAAAAAGTTGGAACCCAGTTCTCTTGATGGCCGAATACGCAAAGATGATGCAGGCAGGCAAAAGCGTCGGGTGCCGAGATCAGCGTCGGCGCACCTGCTCTCGTGCTGTTGACGGCGCAGGCCGCCGGCAGTCTACGCGTCGCCTGCTGGAAGCAGTGCGGCCTCAGTGCAAAGCAGCTGCGAGTGACGCGCGTGCTCGTGGACGCTGTCGAGGTGGTTTGTGTCGCGGGTCACGGATGCGCTCCAGTGACGGTCAGGGTCTCCTTCACGCACGGCCAGACCATCAGAGACGCCGGCGCGATGCCAGTGGTGCCCGAGCTGCTGCCGCCAGCCGTCCCCGACGCTGCAGTTTGCCGCATGCTGCTGCTGCAGCCGTTGGCTTTGCTCGCGATGGGCGGCATGGCCTTGCTTGGCGGCTCCATCGCCTTTGAGACTGGTCGCCTGGCTCTCTCTCCTTGGCGGCCGCGGCTCGATATGGCCGCGCGTTGTCTTTGCCGCCGCCGTCCTTGCGCACGCGGCCGAGGCACAGTGTAGCCGAGATCTGTGCTGCAGTGTAGCCTACACAGAGCCGGGTGCGGAGTATCGCCGTGGACGCGCCGACGCTCTGAGGTGGCATCAATAGGCGGGCGTTGCTCTGCGCATCGCCCTCGGCCTCCCGAACGTCGGCCTCGGTGGCGCGCTGCGGTGGTGCGGCCTCACCTTCCTGGTCGGATTCGTTCCCGTCCTGCGCCATTGCCTGGCGTTGCACGGCAAGCGGGAGTGAACTACGCGGGCTGCATCTCTGGACTCTCTGCGCATGTGCTGCGCGTTTTGATTATCAGACAGTAACCACAACCACAGATTATCAGATATCACTCATGATCACTGGCCATTTCCTCTCGTTGTGTATCGATTTCCTCTCTCTTTTTCACCTTGACAAGTTTGGAAATCACTAATATGACAAACACAGAATACAGTAAATTGTTACACCAACACGGCTGGTAAGGATGCTCCGCCGGCACGAATCTCGCCTTCAAACGCGCGCAGCGCCTCGAGAAAAGCTGAGTTGGGCTCGACGAGCGGGCGCGCCTGCTCGCATACATGTACGCCTTCATGGCACTGCGATCGAGGTGTCAGACATGCAGGCTCATCTGTTGCACCCGCTGCACGCGCGTGAGAGCCTCCTCCACGGGCAAGTTGAGCCTGGCAGTGAACGCCGCGTGTTAGTGCTGTGCCAGAAACTCGGTGAGCCGTGTGCGGATTAGCAGAGCGAGGGCCGTCGCATCACGTATGCGACCGCCATCGTGCCAGAGCGTGACTTGCCCTGCGCGCAGTTAACGAGGACCATCTGGCCCGCCTGTCAACAGCTTTAGGCTTGAAGCGCCTTCGCTGCATGCCGCTAGACGAACACCGCCTTCCGGCCCGCCCGAACGCGATCGGACGCCCACGCGAGGCCACGCTCGAGGTCCTCAAGCGGGATGCGGAAGGCCTCGGAGTCCTCCCACTCTAGGTCAAGTAGTCTGGGAGGACTTTCGAGCCGCAGCCTGCAAAAGGAGACCAAACTGACACTGAGGAGTGCAGCAGATGAGCGGTCAAGGGATGCAGCGTGCGTGGTGTGCCTGTCAAATGCAGCGCGCGTCGCAGGCAGGAATGCGTGCAGCCGGTACCCTGCACAGTTGAGAACGGCGTTCGTTGCATGCTCCTCCCTGCAGACCGCGAGTGCAGCCTTGTAGCTGCCAACCGCCAACTCTCCCGGCAGAACGACCGAGGACTTGCCGTCATCCTGCGGTCATGCGAAGAGCCCGCAGCATGGTGGGCCAAACGAGGTGACACGAAGGTGTCACGGGACGAGCATGCAAGGAGGTCATTGGGGTGCCACGAGAGCTCTAAATGGGCTGCCTGAGCGTTGAGCACTGCCAGCAGTTGCTCGTCTGTCACCTCCTCACGCGAATGCCTGCGTATATCGAGCCCACACCCAGCACAGCGATTGGCGGTCGCCTTGGCGAGGGGGACGCGTAGGCGAAAGGGATGGCCCTGCGGCGTGGATGAGAAGGTTGCCGCCGAGGCTTGGGACATGTTAGGCCCAGTACCGATACCGCTAGGCGTCTCAAGCCCAGTATCGTCGGTGTGGGCGCGGTATTGGGATCTGGCCGTACCGCGTGCCGCTTCACACCGAGCGCGCCGTACCGATACCGCTACAGTTGTAGGCTCTCCGGCGCCCCGTACCGCTACCCTGTAGCGAGAAAACAGTTTATCTTCAGTCGGGAAGGGTTATTTTGTGTTCGCTCTTGATCCTCACCGACCAATGAGGTATTTTCTCCCCCCCCCCCCTCTCCCACCACACACACACACACACACACAGAGAGAAGATTTCTTGTTGGTTTTCTAAAATCACACACACACACACACACACACACACACACACACACACACACACACACACACACACACACACACACACACACACACACACACACACACACACACACACACAGAAAGGCGAAAGAAGCCGAGAGAACATACCACGCGCGCGCACGCGCGCGCGCGCCGCGCTCCTCGACTCTCTCGCACCCGCCCCGAGCCACGCCCCTCACGAGATAGGCGGCTGCGACCCTGAGAGTGCGCAGCGGTGCCGCTGGCGTGCTCACCACACCCATCCATCATGCCTGCATCATTCCTGCACGTACTGCCCGGTCTGGTCGGGGCGTGGGGCGAGATCTGGCATGGCGGCGCGCTTGAACTGAGCGCCTTCGATCGTCTCGCGGCGACAGCTCGCAGGCCGGGCGGCCAGAAACTGTGCCGCTCAGCCATCCGCCGAAGCGAGCGCGCCGGCGGCGGTCCGCCGCCGGCGCGCTCGGCTCAGTGTCTTCAAGCCCGCCGGTGGGGAGCTCCGCTTGCGGGCAACGATTGACATGCGGGCAGCCTCGCTGTCCGTGAATCAAGCACTCTTCACGCACGATTTGATTGTGGAAATACGCAATCTCTGCACCACTTCAGTGTAGTTACCGCTACGTAAAGCCGTGCAGACCTAGTCGCAATATTGCGTTGTTAGTCTATACCGCGTTGGTGTCCAGTCCGAGCCTGACTGTTGTTCATCTTTCTACATACATACAGATCCTGGCCGGTGCTTGGGACTGTGGCGCCGCCCAAATCAGCATCTTTCCGCATGAGACAGTTATTGGAAGAATTCTTTTTCGCAGCCGTTGCCCGCGCCTCGCCTGTCGCGTGAATCGTGTAGAAAGAAAGAAAGAAAACGGACAACCCAAGGGAGGGATGGGAGGACGGCACGCCGCCACCACACAGGGACAAACAAAAGTGTGAGTGTTAGAGTTGTTTGGTATTGCTAAAAAAAACACACACAGGGATTTTAAGGAGAGGGGTGTGGTGCGCTAGCCGTCGCCCACCCTTGGGCGTCCGCCTCTCCCTATCTCTCTTCGCAGTCTATCGCCGATTCTCGCTGCAACCTTCATGCCACCTCGCGGTCGTCCCACTCTCGTCGTTCTCTCCCTTGTGACCGAGCCGAATTCTTTTTTCGAAGTGTTCGCTGCACTCACTCTTTGCGCACCTATTTCCTGCCCCTCGCCGCGCCCCTGTGCCTCGCTCTCGCTTCGACTGCCGGCTGCATGCGGCTCGGGGTTGTGCATCTCCTCCACTCAGCGTCCCTCACCCGTGCCTTCCCGCCGCAGGCGCATCATGATGGAAGCGATTGGGGAGAGCGGGCCTGCCGC